ATTCATATATGATTTGAAAGTTATTATTTTCTAGAACGCAACTTCTATCAAGCTCTAATGAAGATTGAGAGAAGTATCCAACATGGAAAACTAGCGTTAAGGGCAAAACAATGACATGCCACGGGTGAAACAAAAGGGGAGGATTAGGTGTGCAACAATGTAGAGACAAACTAGAAATAAGCCCAAATCTTGCCCTTTATGGATACTCCATAAAAACGACAGTAGACAGAAATAATGGTTTCTATTTTGCAATGTGTTCGTTTACCTCATTTGGATACCCCTTTAGAGAAAAAAACAATGGGGGCTGCACACTCCCATTGCCCCACCAAATGGGAACCTCGATGTTCAAGTGTTTATCTTGGTCCTATCTGCCTGTACTTGTTGATAATGCCCCATGTTGCTCTTGCCCATAGGATAAGCTTTTGATAGCATCTTTTAAGATAGCCAAGTTAGATTTCTCAATGTGCTTAAAAAGCTAAAATCAATAATCCATTTAATTTCATAACAACCATTCTTCATAAGACAAGACAGTTGATCAAATTCAAGATCACACCATTCGAATTACTACTCCAGGCGCCTGCTATGGGGCCATCGGGCCATCTCGATGCTTCCCGGTACTGGTGTTCTTTGAATGTAATGTGGTCCCTATGTTTCCCGGTACAGGTGTACCTTTTTCACCTGTGCTGATGACCCTGGAACCTGCAAGGTACCGATCTTCCCAGGTATCTTAAAGTGCTATTTTTTTCGGTACCTAGGCTTCCTGATAGCTATGTTTCCCAGAGAAGGAAATAGTATCGACACGAAGTATCTGTGGATTTTTGTGGGTACGACTTCATGAAAATACCGCATGCCAGGGAACTCCCTACATTCTGATGAATGTAGGATGTACTCCAGTAATGCCAAGAATAAGCACAATAAGGAGAGAAATTAATGAAGTTTCGACCTTAAACTCTCCACAAGACGGTGAGATCGATATGGACACTCGAAATAAATTTCTCCGAAATTTTATACACGTAGTACTAGTACAACACTCGGCAGAGGGATAAGCAAACATACGCGCAATGATAGACACCAACTTAACTGTAGTAAAAAATTATCAATTAATCAATTTGCAGCCCACACCATCACCATAACAACACTACCTACACCACGGTCACACCGCCTTGGTTAACATCACCAACAGGGCATGCCCTAAATTCATATGCATACATACATGTATATATATATATATATATATATATATATATATATATATATATATATATATATATATATATATATATATATATATATATATATGTGTGTGTGTGTGTGTGTGTGTGTGTGCGTGTTCATTCTGTGAGCTGGCTTTGAGATTGCACCCTTCAGTCCCTAAGTATTGGGGCATCCACAGCCTCTTACAGCCGGTGACAGCAATTTTGTTTTCTCCTTTTGGCTCGCGAAGTAAAAACACACCCCTGAAATTATCTAGATTAACTTTGTTAGGTAGCCCCCTAAAACCACCAGGAATCGACGAGGCTTGATGCCATGTGTATTACGCAGTGTGCCAGTAATTTTCATTGGCGAATTACGTCACTGAAAATTACTGGCACACTGTGTAATACACATGGCATCAATCCTCGTCAATTCCTGGTGGTGTTAGGGGGTTATCTAACAAAATTTAGCTAGATCATTTCATGGGCTTCATTTTGATTGCTCTCTTAGCCACATCCACCACAGGATACCTGCCAGTCATCTGGTTTTATGTTAAGGAATGTACATGGGGTCATATAGTATATGCAGTATCTGGCTGCGATCGAGCTGGCTACGAGATGTCTGTCCGTCCCCATGGCTCATGCTGACAGTGAGAATAGCCTCCTTTTCTGGAACTTTGCTAGGTCCCCAAAAATAGGATTTCTGGCTCTTGGTATCAGTGTTCTGACCCACATCGTTAGACCTGGTACAGCAATGCAGGTAATGTGTCCAAGGGCGTGTCCAAGGACCCTTCTGTGGGACACCTTCAAGAGTGAAACGCTCGATGTAGCTCAAAAATCGATTGGTGAATGCCTAAGGGCAAGACAGAATTTCATCTCGCAGGAAACACTGGAGGCCACAGACGCTAGTTGCGCGGCTCGACTATCAAGGGATCGCGACTTGCATTGTTCACTGGTCTAGGTCAATGCTGAGAAGGGACAGGAATCAATTTATCAGAAATCCATTTCCTAGTAAATGACTTTCGTCCTGCCTACCAAGCTCTGAGAAAACTGAACTCCAGGCCCTCCTCGCAGACGACCACAGATCACTCAGCAAGTGGCCAGATTATCTCAAATACTGTTGGGGTGTGGGACCGTTGGGCTGAGTATTTTAAGCAATTGTACCAGGCTGATCCACCAACAATTAACTTGGATGCGGATAGTGTTGAGATTTCTTTGCCAGATCCACCCATCAGCGAGGATCCACCCTTCCTCACTGAAGTCAGGGAGCGATCTCCAAGCTAAAGAGTGGTAAAACAGCGGGTGTCTGCGGTAGACTGGTACCATTCCCCCTGACCTGATGATTGGTGCGGTCATCCCTCTCTGGTATGGGAAAGAGGATTGATGGTACTGCAGCAGTCACCAAGGCCTTACACTGTTCTGTATACCAAGCAAGGTTCTCGCTCACATCCAGAGACCAGAGACCGGAGCAATCTGAATAAGTTCACAATAGACCGTATTCTGGCGCTTTGAGTCACTGTAGAGCGCCGCCGTGAGTTCGGGCATGGGCTGCTTGTAGCTTACATTTATCTCAAGAAGGCGTTTGATACGGTGCTTCACGAATCGCTTTCGGGGGTCCTGAGACTAAGAGGAATTCCAACAAGGATTATTGGATTAATAGCAAGCCTGTATATTGGTACTGAAAGTCTGGTGAGGGCCTGTCAAGTGAGGCAAGGCTGTGTTCTTGCACCAACACTTTGCTGATAAAGCTATTTTATCTGAGTCTCTGGAAAACCTAGTGGTGGCTCTTGATGCGTTTAGCAATGAAGCGAAGCCCCTGGGGTTAAAGGTCTCCTGGACCAAGACCAAGATCCAGGACTTTGGGGGCCTGCTAGGAGATCCTGGTCAATCGATATGTGCTTGCGGTGGGGACACTGGGGTCACAGAGAGCTTTATATACCGTGGTAGTGCAGTTCATGACTCCGGGCTGTCAGACCAAGAAGTCAGTAGACGGACTGGCTTGGCAGTATTTGGAGATGCTGGTACCTGTGCAGAAGGACTCAGCTACTAGTCTTCAAGGTTCTGGTACTGCCAGCTTTGCTATACGGTAGTGAAACCTGGACGCTATCTTGTGCCTTGGAATTTCGTCTTGATGCCTTTTGTAACAGGTCCATGCGCCGGATCATGGGGTACAGTTGGCGGAGCCAGGTGTCCAACCAACGGTTACACCGTGAGATTAGTACAGGACTTGTTACTTGCACAATCCGCGATCGCCAACTCAGGTTATACGGCCACCTAGCTCGTTTCCTACAGGATGATCCTACCCACCAGGTTGTCTTTGTTCGATACAACCCTGGGTGGAGGAGGCCCGTGGGACGACCTAGGAAGTGGTGGCTTGAGCAGATCGATCAAACCTGTCGTGAAGAGTTCAGATGGACCGAGCCATGAGGAAGTTTCGAGGTGGAAACGAAGGGTGGATGCGGCTATGTGGCTATGATGAATGATGATATGTACATATATATATATATATATATATATATATATATATATATATATATATATATATATGTGTGTGTGTGTGTGTGTGTGTGTGTGTGTGTGTGTGTGTGTGTGAGTGTGTGTGTGTGTGTACATATATATGTGTGTATATATGTTAAATATATATATATATATATATATATATATATATATATATACATACATATATATATATATATATATATATATATATATATATATATATATATATTATGTATATGTATATATACAGATACCTACATATAATCACACACACACACACACACACACACACACACACACACACACACACACACACACACACACACACACACACACACACACACACACACACACATACACACTCACACACACATACACACTCACACACACACACACACACACACACACACACACACACACACACACACACACACACACACACACACATATATATATATATATATATATATATATATATATATATATATATATATATATATATATATATATATATATATATGCATATATATATGTATATATATATATATATATATATATATATATATATATATATATATATATATATATATATATATGTGTGTGTGTGTGTGTGTGTGTGTGTGCGTGTGTGTGTGTGTGTGTGTGTATGTGTGTGTGTGTGTGTGTGTGTGTGTGTATGCATATGTATATTTAAGTACATATATACATTTATGTATATATATACATATATATATATATATATAACCGTCTATTTCAATTACTATCTATTTATTTATTTATCTATCTATCTATCTACATATATACACACACACACACACACACACACACACACACACACACACACACACACACACACACATATATATATATATATATATATATATATATATATATATATATATATATATATATATATATATATATATTTAAATATAATATATATACATAATATATATGATATATGCACATAAACACTGTATTACAATGTATTATGATTTAGTTATTTAAACTTGGATTGACATATCTAGCTGAAATTGTCAATTCTAGTGTTGCTGTGTATGTATATCTTGAGTCGCATGATAAAAAAAGTGTCTGTTTACGTTTAGAATGGTTATCTTCGTTTTTTTATCGGACGAACAGTTTATTTCAGTTTTCAGGTCTAATGTGAACGTTAATTTATATATAATAACCGAAAATTTGTCCTATTAATATTACAAAAATAGTCAAAAGAACTAAAGACAGATTTACACACATATATATATTTTTAAAATAATCTCGGATGAACACATCTTGAAGTATCATTTCCTAAGTTCCGGACGAGATGTAATGAGGACGGGACAGTGCTAATTTCCCCCTCTTTTGTGTGTATTAACAACAGTCTGTTTTATTCACTGCTCTTAATTCTCCTTGTTCGTGCATCGAAGGAGTGGCGTAGAATAAGAGAAAGGTGGATTATTGGAAAAAAGGAGAACAGTAGAGATGAAAATACAACATTTATTTTCGTGATTTGGGCAATGCAAGGTGAGATACCATTAGTATTATGAGGTGATGAAATTCACTCTTTCAGCCCCTTGATTCGATATTTATCATGGATTTTTGCCACTGGCTTGTTGAAATGAGTCTTTGTCATTAGTTCAGTTTAATTTCGTTTTGTTCTGACTTGGTATATTTAGATGTAGTGCTTTGCCTGCTGATTCGTCATTAGGTAGTTTACAGATAGGAAAGGTCTAAAAAACGTCCATGTTACTGGATTTTCCACCTATTGGCACTTAGGTAGTGGCCAATTACCCTCTCATATGAAGTCCATCAGGATGAACTTATGGACGGCCTTTGTCATGATTATGGACTGCCTTTGTCTTTACTAGGATAAGGAATTCTGTGCTGCTGTCAGTTGGACTTCTGATTGTAGGCCATCCATTAAAGATTGCTTGAAGGCTCAAGTGAGTTTGAATAAAAAATATCTGAAATGATTGTAATATTTGGCTGTATTTGTAAGTCCAGGGCAATGGTAAATCTGTTTAACAGATAAGTAACATTTCACTAATGGATGTACTTTTATATATTTTTTAAGTAGAAGGATTACAATAATCATTAAAAGGTTTAAAGTAACAATAACCCTGTAAATGATTAGCCCTGACTAACCCCAGTAGAAAAGTTCCATTGCTACCCCAACTGATATCTGTGTAGAACATATACTGTAGAACTACTTATTTTCTTAATATGACGATTTATTCTCAGAGACAACACACTATACAGATCTAGAAGTTAAGAGATATTACATGGTTTTAGTATTCCGATTTATAGATTCTATAGTATATAAGTTACATTTTAATGTTCTTAATAAGGCGTCTTTAATTTATACACATAAAATACACAAGTCATCCTTGTTTTCATAACATGTATTGTCCTGGAACACAGTCTTTTTTTTTTCCAAAGGATTCAGCCCCAGAGACCTTAAGATGAAACAGCCACAATAAAAAGGCTAATATGTAACATTTCCCAGCAAACAGTAAAAGTAAAGTAGTACTGGTAGTCATGGTTTAGCATTTAACACATCACTGTTGATGCACTTCATTCCATCTTTGCACATGTTACTGTGTTTGTGTTTTTATTCTAAGACCTGTACCTAAGTTTATTTCAATCTAGTTGTATGATGTGGTTCCCCATTAAGAACATGTCTATGTTTCAGCTTGTAGTAGGTGGGGTCAGACCCAGTTCGCCTTGGAGAGCAGTAACCAGAATATATCTGTTTGCAGGAAGGTAGGCTCTCAGTTCTTAAATATGCACTCCCCAGATACTTATGTGCCTTATAATATGTAGCCTATTGGTAAAACTTATTATTTTGAAAGTGAATTTTAAAGTCAACAGCAGACTTTTGTTTAAATGACAACAATGATTAATTATGTGTGCTAAATTTTCAGAAGTCATAATGTGGTTTATCAAAAAAGGTCTTATCCAAAGTACTGGTTTAGTCCATTATTTAAAAGAGCAGATTTTTTTTCCCCAGCACAAGATGGCAGAGAAATACCTATATTTTAAGTTCTTACATTAATTGTAAAATCATTGTGTTTTTTTTTTTATTGAATTACACAATTTATTAAGATGTCACACATTAGCAATATTTTATCTTCGAACGGACATATTTTGTTTCTGCAGGGCTGATTAGGAGACAATGCCTTCACAGGCTATCAAACCAACTTCTCTGGGGATGACGGGAATGAGGAACAATGACACCTGGACTGATGGACTCCCAATCTGCAAATTGTCAGGTATTTTTATTTTTGTAGGTTTTACCAGTTGAAGACATGATACGTATCTTACTTAATCATGCCAACTTTTCCTTACATTTCTTGTAATATCTTAGAAAACAGAATTCAGTCTAGGGGATATGTTTGTTAAGAAATCAGTATGCTCGACAGGTGTGGGGATGTCAGCCAACCAGATGTATCGAGAAGATGGAACGCCATGCTCGGAACATGAATATGAGGACCGCAGCATTCACTTTTGCCTTGACCGTGAAAATCACACTTACCTCTATGGGGTCTTTGATGGCCATGATGGAGCCAAGGCAGCATACTTTGCATCCCAGGTTAGGTATTACATGTTTAGTTTAGTAAAAGACTGGTCATTAAATCATGAATTTCTTTGGTTATTAAAGATGATAATATCTTTAGAGTGGAAATCCTATTTTCAAAGGAAACTATTAATTTACAGTGTTATTACACATCCAGTGATTTGGACCATGTTAGACATCCTCACAATTTGAAAATAAAGTTAATTGTCACAGACTATTTACTGTAGAGTAAACATGTATTTAGGAGATCCTCATTGCTGATGGGTATGGCATGTACGCATATGCCATGCCCATTGTGAGTTTACTAGTTTACTAGCTAATAGTTTTTACACATAGATGGCTACACTTCTACTAAGTCACCAAGGAGTCAATTACGAGTACTGCCTGTCTCACCCGTCTACCCTTTTCCTTGATTTACAAAATATTGTACATGATCTACATGATTGTGGTTACTAATGTCTATAACATTATATAATTATAATGTCTGTAATTAAGATAACACAATCGACGTTTATAGCATAAGTAAAAAAAAAAATTAAAAAAAAAAAAAAAAAAAAAATTACCAGTTCAAGGAAAGGTAAAATTAGGTAAGGTCACAAGGTCTACTAATTGACTCCTTTGTGCCTAATTACTAGCAGAGCTATGTATGTACAGAAAAAATTTACAAAAAAAAAAAAAAAAAAAAAAAAATGAGGACAGCATTTCCCCCGGCAGCTTGTGTTTAAAAGTAAAAAAAAAATCTTATAGCATAACAGTTTTGTTACATTTCCTAAGAACATTTTGAACTATTTATGAAGACAAGTTTACTCACTTATTACAATCAAAGTTATGTAATAACCATGTTAAATAACCCTTTGCTGCCAGGAATGGCATGTATGCACATGCCATTCCCACTGTGAGTGTATTAATTGGATTTTCACATAGATGGCTTCACAAGTCCATAGTCATCAAGGAATCAATTACTAGTCCTACTTATTGCACCTTTTTACCATTTTCCATGTTTTTTTTATATTGCTCTTAGTATTAGTAATAAGATTATAACAATTATATTGTCAAAGATACTGTTAATGGCATTAGAATTAAACAACTACATATTACCCCCCAAAAATTAAGGTAAGGGGAAATCAAGTGAGGTTACATAGGTCTACTAATTGACTCCTTGGTAGCTGAGGACTTGTAGAGCTATGTATGATTTATTAAACAAAACTACAGTGAACTTGTATGTCCCTGGTGGCAATGGGCCCAAACTAATATCTCAAAACCTAAACAAAAGATATTTGTAAAACCTAAACAAAAGATATTTGTAATTTTCCTTTGCATTCATTAAAAAAATAATAATAATTGCAGAGGATGCCTGCAGAATTGAGTTTCGAGCAGTTGACAGGAAAAACAACAGAAGAGGAGGTGAAAGAAGTGTTTAGAGAAGCTTTCCTCTCAGTCGAGAATGCTTTCTTAGAGTCCATCGATCCGAGAATTGCAGAACGTACTCAGCTGTTGGACAAAATCCCCGATGGAATGTCACAGTTTGAAGCGGCTCAGAAATTCCCAGAAACATTTAGCAGGCTTCAGGTAAGAACTGATTTTGACGGAATTTCATACCATGCTCTTGTTATCTGAATTTTATATTCTGGATTAATGTTCATGAACTAATGGAGAAAGAAAGAGGCAGTGTTATGAGATTGTTCAAAGAAATATCCCTTTTACTTAATTTTCTTTTTTCTTTTTTTTCTTCTTTTTTTAGGCATTAGACCAGGAAATAAGAGGAGGGACAACAGCAGTTGTAGCGCTGATACATGCAAAAACATTGTATGTTGGTAATGTTGGTGATTCGAGGGCTCTCCTTTGCAAGAAAGATAGGTTTGTATATGGAAATTTGTGTGTTATCATGCTTGTTATTTTTACTTTCAAGATTGATTGGTAATTTCCTTTGAATAAGTTGCTCTTTATATTTGTTTGTCTTAGGTGATTAAACAACACAGTTTTTAATTGGTCTTAGGTCTGGTGTATTAAAAGTGAAGCAACTTACAGCTGACCACACAACTAGTAGTCATGATGAATTGCAGCGTTTGGAATCACTCAATTTGACAGCAAGCAAAATTCGAGGTAAAAAAAAAGTTTTTGTTTCTTTTCTTTTTCTTCTCCCTTTTTTTCCTTTAGTGAGTGACTCTTTTGCATAGGTAGAAGAAATTACACTGGTCAAAATTTGGTGTACTAATTACACTTAGAATAAAATATGTAGTATTTGAATTTTGCATATTGATTTCATGAATATAAGATTCTACTCCAGGTTTATTAGGAGCAAAAGAAAACATGTTCTCTTGAGTGTTGACACCCACACTCCACTTCCTCATCTGCATCCCAGAGCATGTCTTACATAGTTACTACCAAGTTTTGAGATGCCCTTGTTTATTATATCTCAAGTGTTTGGCTAGAGATACATATATTATTTATTTGTATAGAAATTATACAAATAAATAATGTATGTATCTCTAGCCAAACACTTTCAAAGTTTCAGACATAATCTGATGATATCATTATAAACTTTGCTTGAGCATTTAATCACATGGAGTAGAAAATCATTTTGTCTTAGTTTCTAGAACAGATACATTCTCTCTCTATCTCTGTGTCTCTGTCTGTCTCTCTGTCTCTTTCTCTCTCTCTCTCTCTGTCTGTCTGTCTCTCTCTGTCTGTCTGTCTGTCTGTCTGTCTGTCTGTCTGTCTCTCTATCTCTCTGTCTCTCTGTCTGTCTGTCTCTCTGTCTCTCTGTCTGTCTGTCTCTGTCTGTCTCTGTCTGTCTGTCTCTCTCTGTCTGTCTCTCTCTCTCTCTCTCTCTCTCTCTCTCTCTCTCTCTCTCTCTCTCTCTCTCTCTCTCTCTCTCTCTCTCTCTCTCTCTCTCTCTCTCTCTCTCTCTCTCTCTCTCTCTCTCTCTCTCTCTCTCTCTCTCTCTCATTCTCTCTCTCATTCTCTCTCTCCCTCTCTCTCTCCCTCTCTCTCTCCCTCCCTCCCTCCCTCCCTCCCTCCCTCCCTCCCTCTCTCCCTCTCTCCCTCTCTCTCTCTCTCTCTCTCTCTCTCTCTCTCTCTCTCTCTCTCTCTCTCTCTCTCTCTCTCTCTCTCTCTCTCTCTCTCTCTCTCTCTCTCTCTCTCTCTCTCTCCCCCCTCCCTCCCTCTCCCTCTCCCTCTCCCTCTCTCTCTCTCTCTCTCTCTCTCTCTCTCTCTCTCTCTCTCTCTCTCTCTCTCTCTCTCTCTCTCTCTCTCTCTCTCTCTCTCTCTCTCTCTCTCTCTCTCTCTCTCTCTCTCTGACTCTCAGGAAGCTGATGAGTCTGACTCATTTTTTCATTTTGAGGGGTACTTTTAAATGCAACATTTTTTTCCAGTGTGAACAGAAGTATACATATGCTAAACATTAATTGGGCATTTTTCCTACCTTACATATAAAAAAAACTCATGGGTAAATGGAAAATGATTTGTTAAGTGCAAATGAATGTGCCAAACCTATTGAATTTTGATTGTTGTATCAGCTAAGTGAGGGCCCTGTCATTGTCATTATTTAGAATTATTTACTCCCAGCCAGCATGTGAGTAGATATTTTGTTTTTGGATATTATTTTAAAAAAAAAAGGTTAATTGCAAATAGCTGGAGGAGATGTATATATTGTCTTTGAAAACATATCTCTAAGGATAAATGAGAAGTGGTGTGGTAATAATGCGAGCATGTGAAGCATTATTGTAAATAATAACGTAACAAAGTTTCTGTTTGATGTTTTTAACAAGAGTATACATAAAACTGTCAGGTTACAAGTAAGTTTGTAAATGATCCATTATTAAGGTTTATTGGTTGTTAAGACAGTAATATGGCAAAAGTTAAAACTTTTTTCTTTCTTTTTTTAGGAGCAAAGCTTGGAAACCATGAGTTAACAAGGTGTATTGGAAACTATTTCATGAAAGGAGGTTACTCGGAATTTGACATCCTAAGTTCAGCAACAGCAGAGCCTGTCATTGCGGAACCATACATCACATTCATGCCTATTGATGAATCCTGCAGGTAAGCCTACCTGGAAATTGCTAGAAATCATTGGACAGAGCAAGGAAAAAAAAAAAAGAAATGTGTGTTTTCTTTTGTATGTTCAAAACCTATGTTTGTTTGCAAAGTTCCTGAAACCCTAATGCTCTTTGGCTAATTTTCTTCCCTTTTCTGGTAAAAATGAGAAGAAATTTGTCCATGTTTGTATCTTAAAAGTTATACCCCCAGCATATACATGAGTGCACATCCTCATATGAGTTCTGTTCTGACTGTTTGATTGGATTTCAGTATTGATGTAAATCAGATATACACATACCACTGTAGCACTTTTTAACCTGACTTGTATTTTTTGATAGACAATTTGTAAGGTTCTGTAATATTTTCTTTACATTTATTTATATTCTCTCTTTCTTCACTTAATGTATATATATATGTTATTTCTTTAAAGTGATATGAATGAATGATATAGTAATAGGAGAAGAGGCTATATATATGTATATGTCTTTGTATGTGTAGTCTACAGTACAAACTATTTACATGTACATGTGTATATGAATGAATTATAAGAAGAAAGTTAATATGGGTTACTTCACGTTAATGCACTCATTTCAGTTTCCTCTTGCTGATGAGTGATGGCCTCTATAATTCTTACAAAGAGGCTACAGGATCTGAGCAAGTCAACAAAGAAATTGCACAGATGGTTGTTGAGCAGGTTAGTATTCATGGGATTTGTGGATTCTTTCTTTAATGTTTTGCATTATTTGAACATTGGACTTGTGAAGAGTATAGATGCATATGCACTCACACACACCTAGAGTTTTCAAATGTGCTGATGCTCATTAGATATTTTTCACTTCTGATTCATATTGATTTAGCAGTTTAAAAGATGTGAGAAGGTACTAAAGCAAAATTAGTCATAACGGGAATATGACCACACTGTTGTTCCGAACACTTGGAAATATTTAGCTGAATTTCATAAAGCAATGTTAATTTGGCTGTTGATGTGATTACATGATTTGATTTTTCTTTCTCTTTTTTTTCTAGTTTGTAGAGCAACCAACTCTAACCAGCATAGCTCAGACTGTGGTTGACAAAGTAGTCCGTCTGCACCACGATAATTATCTCACCAAGCAGAGAAATGTGACAACTCGTGACGACATTACCCTAATCATCCGCAACTTCAACTTCCCTCTGCGCAGCGCCCTTACCCCTTCTGCCGTGTCTGGGGGCAGCTCTCCACGCCCTCCTATCCATCACAGACCGCACCTGAGGACAGCAGTGAGAACTCCAGTAAGATTTTCCTTTTGACTTGTTGCCATGACTCTTCCTTATTTTCCTCCATTTACAGTGAATGTATAATCTGATGTTATTTTTTTTTCTTCCACTTCTTCTTTTTCTGTCATAATTAGTTAATAGAAATAGAAAGAAAAAATCAAAGCATACCCAAAGTTTTATATAATTATTTTACTTAACCCATTGCCGATGGGGAAATGCTGTGATCATTTTTTATATTTTTTGTGAAATGTTTCTACCAATAGAAGGCTCTGCCTTACCTGACTTCACCTTTCCTTGAATTGGTGGGAAAATATACTTTTTACTAGTGCTGTGAATATCGATGGTGTTATTTTTATTATAAACATTATGATTGATATAATGTTATAAACATTAGTAGTAGCAAAATAAGATAAAGTAAAATGTTTTCGAAAATTAAAGAAAAGGGTGAATGGGAGAGACAGGCAGTACTCGTAATTGGCTCATTTGTGGCTTAATACAAGTCTAGCCATCTATGTGTAATAACAATCAAACAACTAAACTCGCAGTGGGCATGGCATATACGCACATGCCATGCCCGTCGGGAAAGTGTCAAGTCATATCAGCAGAAATTCCAAACACCAGACTATAATGTCTTTAGATGTGTGAGCATTTCTGTGTCTCCTTTTTTCTCTTTCTTTTTTCTTCTTCTTCTTCTTTTGCTTCTTCTTCTTCTTCTTTTTCTTCTTCTTTTTCTTCTTCTTCTTTTTTCTTGTTTAGGTCTTTGCACTGTTATTATTAATTTTGATTATATATTTATATGTATATATGTATATTATATATATCAGCAGTCAATTTGGAGCAACAGTGGGCGATATTAGGGTCATGGACGTTGACTTTGCTGATGTTGCCATTTTATATGAGGCTAAGAGATCCTATTGGTAGCTCTTGATTCATTTAGCAGTGAGGCAAAGCCCTTAGGTCCAAAGATCTCTTGAGTGAAAGTGAAAATCTAGAACTTGGGGATCTGCTTGGAGAGTGTGCTCATTTTCTTATATCTTATAATTCATGACTTGTTTGTTAGAGATAGAAGTCAAGAGATTTCCATCATTAGCCATGGACTCACAGGACAAGAGTATCTAGAAATACTAATTCTTAAGCAATTAGGTCCTCACAGTCAGTCATGGGTTACTGTTGGCAGGACCACTTGTTCAACCAATGACTGCACCGTGACTGGCATAGGTCTAGTTACTTCTGCATTCTCGGACCACCAACTCAGGATACACAGACATTTGACTTGAAATTAGGATGGTATTCCCCAGTAGATTGTTTCCTCTAGAAACAACTCTGGGTGAAGGAGACCTGTAGGCTACCCAGGGAAGATGTACAGTAACTTGAGTAAATAATCAAGGTTGAAAAGAAAGTAGAGATAGAAGTAGAGATTGGTAGTGGCTAACAGAAGGCTGATGGCTGATAATGGATTGTGGGTGTAGCAGTGCACCCTCTCTGCCATCATCCTCAATGAATGAATGAATGATTAAAAGTGAATTATTAATTTATTGATCCATAGGTTTGAGTTACAGTCTGTTTTGTGTCAGGTAAGAAATAAAGCTCTATATATATATAGATAATATATATATATCATATATGATATATATATGATATAGATATATATATCTATATCTTATCTATATCTATATCTGTATGATATATAGATATACACATATATACAAACACACACACACATACACTGTGTATATAGATATATAGATATATAGATATATATCTCTCTCTCTCTCCCTCTCTGCTCTCTCTCTCTCTATATATATATATACACATATATACAAACACACACACACACACTCACACACACACACACACTCACACACACACACACATACACTGTGTATATAGATATATAGATATAGAGATATAGAGAGAGAGAGAGATATAGAGATATATATATATAGTTATATATATATATAGAGATAGATAGAGAGAGAGAGATATAGAGATATAGATATATAGATATCTAGATATATATATATAAGATATATAGATATATCTATATATATGATATACATATATATATATAATAAATATATATATATATTTATATTTATTTATTTATATGTATATATATTATATACATATATGAATATATATATATATCTATAGATATATAGATAGATATATATATAATATATCTATATATATATGTATGATATATATATAGAGATATATAGATATAGATATAGAGATATATAGATATATTTATATATATCTATATGATATATATATAATAAATATATATATATTATACATATATGATATAATATATATATTATATTTATATATATTTATATTTATTTATTTATATGTATATATATATG